CCCCAAGTTAAATGAATCCATCTGGGGAGCAGATCGGCCCTGATCATAATGAGCAAATCAACCCCTGATAAAAATAGCTGCACTCACATGCAGCTATTTTATCCAAAGTAGATCTCAAGGAGCTCAAAGCACATTATAAACAGATAGGTAAGTAGTGAGCCAACAGAAGAATCCTTTTCTGTTCAGTCCAACATTCTATCTGGTTCTGTAGCTAAGAAGAAAGCCTATGTTTTTCTCTGTGTGACACAATGGATCCAGCTGGAATAGTTCCTATGGAGAACGTAGAAAATCTTGTACTCATTGTAAAATCACAATTATCATAATAATATTAGCTTGGTGCAAAAGTAACTGCTGTTTTTGCCTTTGCTTTTAATGGCATTAACACTATTCTTAACCTAATAACAGAATTCTGCATTAAAACCATACTTCTACATTCGTTGTCTCTTTTGAGCCTCACAACGGCCCTTTAAGATAAGCAGAATAGGTATCATACCTTGTTGAACAGAGAAAGAAACTGAAGTTCAGAGAGGGTTAGTGCCTCACATAAAGAGGCACAGCTGTTTAGAAGGAAGTAGCATAAAAGAGACATGAACAGTTCTTATGCTAACACTGGTGCTTTTTTGCTCTCTTTGCTATCTTCAAAAAAGATCTTTCTCTGTTGATTACAGAGTTTGAATCCTCAGAACCTCAAATGGCATAGGCTGGCATCTGAGCTTGTTGTGGAATTCTTTTTAATGATTTCTATTTTTTACCAGAAAGAACAATGCTTTGATTTTGAGGGCGTTACTCTAGAATTGTCCATAAACAACTTGACCTTTTGGTTGATTCATGACGTTGCAGAGCTGGAGAATGTTCATTTATTAATTTAAAAGGAGTCAAGGAGCCTCAAGGAGAAAGATTCAAAGTGGGACAACTGTGATTCCAAAAATCAAGCCCTTGTCCGTGGGAGAAGGAAAGACCAGTGTGCTGCTTCAGTCTGTGTTGAACGCTTTGATATTTTTTCTCCCAGTTCTTTTATTGGACTAATACATGTTTGTCTCTTTTTCTTGCCCATTGACTGACTGTATTCCCACTCCCTTTAGGAGCACTGAATTATTAAATTCAGAGTTCATTGCCCGGCAATTGTATGTGCCCACTGAACATTGCTGAGGTTGAGTAATATGCTGACTCAGAGATAAATAAATGGTATCAGTAGCTAACATTTACTTCTAGGACGTCTAGGTATTCTCCTAAGCACGATACATGAATTAACATATTTAATCTCTACAAAGGAAGGTCTCTTAGGCATTAGTATTATTGGCTTCATCTCTATCTTAGAAATGTGAAACTGAGGCACAGGAAGGTTAAGGCCCTTGTCCCAGTTCACAGCACTAGAAGCAGCGGTCCTGGATTTTGAATCCTGGAAATCTAGCTCTCTACAAAGAAACCACATGCTTAGGAATGGAGGGAGTTGGGCAGTGTGTTTTCTTTATTTGTTTTGTTTCATTTCAGCAGCTCCTTGTACAGAGAAAAGAAAGTTTTGTTCATCTCTCATCTCCAAGTTATCTAGTATAGCCATCAGAAAATAATGAGTTCTTGTGAAAACTTCAATAAATTATATGAAGACAAGATGGCTCTTGGCAGCAGGAAAAACTTCTATAATACCTCTGACCAGTTTCAGGCTGAGAAGTAGGGGCACTGGGATTTTGAGGGTCAAACTGCTTTGGCCAAGGGATACTGCCTTGAGTATCCAAAGTAATTGAATACACAGATTTGAGTCACAGTAACCACTACTCTGCTGTCCTGTATGAGATGATATGAAAATGGCCCAATAGTTTTAAGATGGTGAGAAGTCCTGGAGGCACAATGCTAGCCCATGGAAGCCACTCCAAATGGGTTTGGTGGATGGATTCATAAATGAATGAATGAATGATTCACCTTCAATCAGCAAAAGATGCCTGCTTTTCAAAAAGCTCAGTGTGGGATTCACATCTCAGAACCTTATCCTTAAAAGAACTTTGGTTTAAACACTTCTTTTTGTAATGGTTATAATCTTCAGCATTATATGTGAGGCAAGGAATTGACCAAATTTTCCACCAGGAAGCATTAAAATATCATGAAAGAAGTCAGGGGAAGGGGGTGGGGAGTGGTTACTGAGAAGGGGTCAGTTCTCTGTGATGCTAGGACATTTGTTTTTGACTTTGGGGAAAAATTGAACATAGCTAACATATCCCCATATTCTAACTGACTGCATCCAACATGAAAAGGAATATTTTAAGGTTGCCAAGCATACAGAGGGCTTTTGCTAGGAAAGTTCTCATTACCAGTATTTTCTGAGTCTTCCAAACACTTTGCTTGCAAATACCTGAGACTGGGTAATTTACAATGAATAGAAACTCATTGGCTCACAGTTCTGGAGGCTGAAAAATCCAATATCAAAGTGCCAGCGTCTGGTGAGGGCCTTCTTGCTATGTCATTACCAGGCAGAAGGCAATAGGATGACAGAGAGGGTTTGAGGGGACTGAACTTGCCCTTTTATAAAAGCACCAATCCCACCCATGAGATGGAGCCCTCATAGCCTAATCACCTCTTAAAGACCCCACCTCTAAATACTGTTACCATGGCAATTAAATTTCAACATCACTCTTGGAGGGGACAAACATTCAAACCATATCATCACGATACGGCAAAATGACATTCTCTTAAATGTACTTAAAGTGCCAGGCAACTCCTCTGGACAAGTCCCTGACGTACCCTCACCTAACTTCCAACCAGATTCTTGCCCTAAAACCTCACTTATACTGGAACTCTGGAGCTGTCTTGAATTTACGCCTGGGAACTACAAATATTCAGTGTGTATATGTCGGATTTATAAAATTCCCATTCAGAAATCATAGATAGTACAGGGGATTTCTGTCAATACCACAGCACCTAAGTTAATTTAATGCAATGCTGAAATCTGTGCTCATTCTTTCATTTTGCAGATGGGAAACTAAAGCCTACATAAGTCATTTGCCTGATCTTCCACAGCTAATGATGGGGAAGCCAAAATATGATCCGAGCTTCAAAATCAGTCTCTTTCTTTGATTCCCTATTTTTATTAAAGAAACTGCCTTTTACATTATAAAAGTAGCATACTAATTTGTAGAAAACTTAGAAAGTATCACAAAAAATAAAGAAAATACTATTGAATAATATTTCAATGCAAAGAGAAATAATGCCAATATTTTGGCATATTTCCTTCCAATCATATAGCATCTAGTAAATACAATTTATTGACAATTTTTTTATATGGCAAGCAGGAGTCCATGCCATTAAAAACTTCCTATTTAATATCTATATAATATTCAGTGTACGTACTTTATACTTTATTTTAATATCTACGTAATATTGAGTATATATACACTTTATTATATAGTAACACAGTCTTTATTGCTAACTATTTAGATCATTTCTGATTTTAACAATTATAAATAATATTGAAATAAATCTCCTTCTACATAAATCTTGAACTGAAAGACTGATAATTAAGTTAGCACAGATTCCCAAATGTGAGAATATATTTTTTCTATTTTATGTAGCCTCTTTCCTTAAAATTAAGACCCTTCCTCCCACCACCACCCTGAAATTATTTCTTCTACTTTGTTTATAAACCACAGAGTTATTATTACAAATGTCTAGATTAAGGTGTGGGAAACAGAGTGAAAGAGCTGGAGATTTGGAATCAGAAAATCTAGATCAATGCACCAGTTCACTTCTCACTCACAAGGTGATCCTGGAATGTTACCTGAGAGGCCTTCCGTCCATGTTTTCTCACCTGGAAAATGGGGCAGTAATAGCACCTCCCTCAAAAGATTGAACTGAGGCTTAAATCAGATCAAACATGTGACAACGGCTTTGTAAACCATCATGTGGTCTTGCAAACATCAGTTGTGATTACCTTTATGTGTGCTGACAGATTTAAACAGCTTTCAAAGGGAAATCACAAGAGAGAAAACCAGTTTATGTTGATGTACTTTTTGGTAGAATGAAACTCAAACTTTTCTTTATTTTATTTTTGTATTTGTAATGCTTTTGGGTACATAGTAGGTGTGTATATTTATGGGTACATGAGATATTTTCATACAGGCATGCAATATGAAATAAGCACATCACGGAGAATGGGGTATCCATCCCTGCAAGCATTTATCCTTTGAGTTACAAACCATCTAGTTATCCTCTTTAAGTTATTTTAAAATGTACAATTAAGTTATTATTGACTATAGTTACCCTGTTGTGCTATCAAATAGTAGGTCTTAATCATTCTTTCTATTTTTTTTTTGTACCTATTAACCATTCCACTTCACTCCCCCAAACCCCCACTCCGCCTCCCACCCTCTGGTAACCAACCTTCTACAATCTATGTCCATGAGTTCAATTGTTTTGGTTTTTAGATCCCACAAATAAGGGAGAACATGCGATGTTTCCCTTTCTGTTCCTGGCTTATTTAATGTATTGTAATTCAAACCTTTCTTTTACAAAAGTTTGAAAGAATTGAAAGGCCCTCAGGATAAATAACAGCTGTCAAAAGAACATTTCCCAAGTCCAATTCGTGTCATCCTGGAGATTTTGAAAGCTTTTGCTCATATGTTGGATTAGCACATCTAAAAGTCTCTGATCACAGGCACGTCCGAGAGTTAATGAACCCAACACGCCTTGATGCTGTGCAGGAGAATCACCAGGACCACAGCTTAGTCCCTCCTCCCTAAGGGAGGGCCACAACATGAAGCCAGAGTGTGATTGGCCTAGGCTCTTTACTAAAGAGCATTTAATGATGAAGGAGGATGCTTCCAAGAGGCTAGACAGCAGAGAGAGGAGAAGCGAAGAGAGAAAGAAGGAAGGAAGGTGGCCTAGCCTTCATCAAGGCAGAAAAGATTCAGGACAGGCAAAGAAGTGAGAAGCTGGGAAGGTGCTCACTATCAGGTTTGTGAAAAGACAACTAGGCTCAGAAGTTTTCAGTGTAGGTGTCATACTGCAGTGGAATGAAAAGGGAGAAAGGCAGTCATTTTATGGTTCAATCAGAGGTGAGGATTAGAAATTTCAAGCATTAACCCAGAAATCCTAGGGATTCAATGACAATGAAACTTGAAGAAAAGTGTGGGGACAATGGGAGCCTTGTAGGAAGGAATCAGTCATACCCAGGTGAGAAGCATCAGCCAAAAGGAAAACCCATAACAAATGGGGAAGCTGAGTTCTATGCAAAGCAGGAGGCAAATAGGAAATGCAGCGTGCCCAGGAAAAGCCTCAACATGTACACCTGGCAGGAGATCCAGAGGCATAATCAGGAGGCCGACCAATGGCTGGTCATCAATCGCAAGGTTTACAATGTCTCCAGCTGGGCAGACAGGCATCCAGGTGGGCGCCGGGTCCTCAACCACTATGCTGGGGAAGATGCCACGGTAAGAAACCCCAAGCTTTCCCCACAACCCTCTCCGTCTTTCCCCCAGCTGTCGGGTGACTGAGATCTTGGCTGTCTTCCCAAAAGCATTGCACAATCATTCATCTCTTCCCAAACCAACTTTTCAGGATTCCTCTCTAGCAAAATTTTAGTAATAAATTAAGCCTCAAGGTCTAACTATGAGCTGTACCTGGTTTGGGATGAGTTCAGATACTGCCATTGAATACTATGTTTGCATATTCTGAGTTTTCTTTTGTTCATGGTGGTTTGTTTTGCTTTGTTTTGAAGCTGAGTCACTGTCTTACAAGAAGAAAATGACAAATATGTGAGTAAAATCTGGGGAAAAAAAAAAAAAAGAACATCTGAACCCAAATAGAAATTTATAAGACTCTTATAAATTTCTATAATAATTGGAGTGCATAAAAGAAAGAAAGAAAGTCACGCAGCGGGCATGAAAACGTTGTGAATAATGATGAAAGCCTACAATTAATTACCTAGGCTTTAAGAGCTTGAAGAGCTCTTTGGCTTCCTGTAGTTCATTCAGTATCATACAGGTAATGCAACCCCACTTTTATTGACACATTGAAATGCATCACCTCATTTAAACCTACAAGGAAGGTGACTATTATTTCCGTATTACAGATGAGAAAGTTGACATTCAAAGATGTAAAAAACATGTCACACAGCCAGCAAGTAATGGTGCCAAATTTTGAAATCAGGTCGGTTTGATCCTAAAGCCCTAAATATCTGGATTGTAAAATAATAAAATAAAATTTCTACTTATTTGATAAAATGGTGTCTCAAAATCTTAAATGCCTTAAGGAATCTCTTTTAAAATATTCCATAAAGAAGTCAGTTTTCTCTCAATTGGGACTTTCATTTCCCACACTGTACAGACGAAGAAGCAGAATTAGAGAAACTAAACAACTAACTCAAGGTCAGAAACTAATATATGACAGAATAGAAATGTAAATGCTTTTAAAAATTGTGTGGCTCCTGTTGGTTTTACAGTTTAGCATATAACTTAACTGGTTTTTGTTTTTTTTTTTGAGACGGAGTCTTGCTCTGTCGCCCAGGCTGGAGTGCAGTGGCCAGATCTCGGCTCACTGCAAGCTCCGCCTCCCGGGTTCACGCCATTCTCCTGCCTCAGCCTCCCGAGTAGCTGGGACTACAGGCGCCCGCCACCTCGCCCGGCTAGTTTTTTGTAATATTTAGTAGAGACGGGGTTTCACCGTGTTAGCCAGGATGGTCTCGATCTCCTGACCTCGTGATCCACCCGTCTCCCCCTCCCAAAGTGCTGGGATTACAGGCTTGAGCCACCGCGCCCGGCCGTACTTAACTGGTTTTAAAGATTGGATTGAAAACATTATTTTGCTAAGTACCAGTCTATAAATGGTACCGTACTAATCATAACAAAATTCACAAATACCTGCAAGATTTCATCTTTTGATGCCATCAACATCTCTTCCTCAATTCTTATTCTTCCCCCAATTTCTCATCCCTGTTCTCTGTGTAGGCTCTTGTTCTTCTACCACCTTCCTATCTTATTTCTACAGTTAGAATAATACCTTTCTGAGTATGCCCTGCTACAGCCCCACCGCTTCTCTCAGATATATTTTTTTAAACAAATTTCACACTTTCCTTGGAAAATAAGCATGAGCTTATACACAGTGCCCAGAAATCAGAGAGCAGAGGGTAGAAGCAGCAAGAAGAAGAGCATTTGTGTAAGAACAACAGGAGGAAAAAAAAAAAAAAAGAAGAAGAAAATGTAAAACATACTACAGATGCCTATCTATCCCATCCCCTCATTTCCACAACTCATAGAAAATACAGATGAGGCTTTGCTAACACAAGTCACAGAATTGGCTCAGAGGATGTGTTCGCAAAGACATGAGCGTTCAACCACCTTAAAAATAACTGATAGCCTCACTCAGCTGGAGGCAGCCAAGATAGATGATAAAGTTTTAATTGGCTAATGATTTTTATCTCCTGGAAGTCAGGAAAAGACCCTGAGTTCGTGTCCAATTATAGCCAACAAGGAGGAATTAATTAATATAACAGAAACCATCAGAATCTTGGGGGAAAATGCCCATGCCACCTTAGGATTTACGTATGTCAAAGAAGAAAATCATAAGTTGGTCAGTCATGTACCTTAGACTTCAGGAAAATAAATAAAAAATGTCCAGAGAAAAGATTCTCCTAGAGAAAATGGCTTAAGAAGAAACGCGGAGTGCCAGAACAATCCACAGTACTCCATGACTCAGAGTACAGGGAGCCTGAGCTTTGGAATAGGTTATGTGAACCTAGGAATGTTATTAGGATGTTCTGAGTCTCAGCTTCCTCATCTGCAAAATGAGGCTGACATTACCCATCTGAGTGATTTATGGCAAATAGAACCAACACACGTAAAGTGTTTGGCATTAGTGCCAGATACTTAGTAAAAGTTCATTCAATCATAGCCATTATCAGTCTTATCACCAGCATCTTTATCCTCAGAAATATAATTATTATTTCCTGTTTGTTCACCACCAGCTTAGAAATCCTGTTTATATTTTGTGTCATCTGATTGGGAACAGAGGGCTATGTAATGAAGCATCATGCTTTCTTTTTTTTTTTTTTTTTTTTTTTGAGACGGAGTCTCGTTCTGTCGCCCAGGCTGGAGTGCAGCTGCAGTGTCAGCTCACTGCAAGCTCCGCCTTCTGGGTTTACGCCATTCTCCTGACTCAGCCTCCCGAGTAGTTGGAACTACAAGCTCCCGCCACCACGTCTGGCTAATTTTTTGAATGTCTTTGTATTTTCAGGAGAGACGGGATTTCACTGTGTTAGCCAGGATGGTCTCGATCTCCTGACCTGGTGATCCCCCCTCCTCGGCCTCCCAGTGAGGGAGGGAAGATCGTAAAGTCAGAAGGCCTGATATCAAATGCTTACCCCATAACTTAAGAGTCGTTTGCAGGTCAAACCTCTGAGTGGCAAGGGTGAGCCAAAGTACTCTCACTGTGTGCAAACCCCGGGCCCATGGCTGCACCTGCCCAGAGAAAGCACCCTCTTCTTATATACATAGTAACTCTTCTCTAGGTCTCCATCGTCCTCATAAAAGGTGAATGATGGTATCTACGTAATCTATCCCACAGCGTCATTCATTCATTCATTCATGCAGTCAGTTGTTCCAAAACTCTTGTTAGGGTTCCACCCTCATGGGAATGAAACATGTCTGCTTTGCATCTGGGCTCTACATTTACTAGGAATGTCCTGAGGCTCTTGAAGTCTCAGCTCCCTTATCTAGAAAATGAGGATAATAATACCTTCACCTTAGCATTGTCATAAAAGTCAGCAGAGATCAAAATGAAGTGCTTACCGTGGTGCTTGGTACAGATTAGACACTCAAAAAATAGCAGCTCTTGCATTTTGTTATTACTTCACTCTTCTGAGATGGGTTTCCATTTTCTCCAAGGAACTTTACTAAGAAAAATAAATCTATAAAACAAAATTGGTACATAAGCTCCTGTTATTGCACATATGAGGTATCTGGTATTTTCAAATGATATGATTTAAAACTAATGTCACTATGCTAATAACTAGAGTTATGGCCATAGTCTTTTTATCTGTAAGAGCTCACCTAGGAAAATCCAGAAACAACCTGTAAGTACAACAAGGAGGATTGATTCTATAGATTATAATTATAATACAATAAGCTATTTTGCAATAACGTGAGGATTATAAAACATATTTTTCTTTTTTGTTGTTTTTTATTATACTTTAAGGTCTAGGGTACATGTGCACAACGTGCAGGTTTGTTACTTACGTATACATGTGCCATGTTGGTGTGCTGCACCCATTAACATTTATGTTATGTATTATCTCCTAATGCTATCCCTCCTCCCACCCCCTCCCTACAATAGGACCTGGTGTGTGATGCTCCCCTTCCTGTGTCCAAGTGATCTCATTGTTCAGTTCCCACCTGTGAGTGAGAACATGCAGTATTTGGTTTTCTGTTCTTGCGATAGTTTGCTGAGAATGATGGTTTCCAGCTGTATCCATGTCCCTACAAAGGACACGAACACATCCGTTTTTATGACTGCATAGTATTCCATGGTGTATATGTGCCACATTTTCTTAATCCAGTCTGTCACTGATGGACATTTGGGTTGATTCCAAGTCTTTGCTATTGTGAATAGTGCCACACTAAACATATGTGTACATGTGTCTTTATAGCAGCATGACTTAGAATCCTTTGGGTATATCCCCAGTAATGGGATGGCTGGGTCAAATGGTATTTCTAGTTCTAGATCCTTGCGGAATTGCCATACTGTTTTCCACAATGGTTGAACTAGTTTACGGTCCCACCAACAGTGTAAAAGTGTTCCTATTTCTCCACATCCTCTCCAGCACCTGTTGTTTCCTGATTTTTTAATGATTGCCATTCTAACGGGTGTGAGATGGTATCTCATTGTGGTTTTGATTTGCATTTCTCTGATGGCAAGTGATGATGAGCATTTTTTCATGTGTCTATTGGCTGTATGAATGTCGTCTTTTGAGAAGTGTCTGTTCATATCCTTTGCCCACTTTTTGATGGGGTTGTTTGTTTTTTTCTTGTAAATTTGTTTGAGTTCTTTATAGGTTCTGGGTATTAGCCCTTTGTCAGATGAGTAGATTGCAAGAATGTTCTCCCATTCTGTAGGTTGCCTGTTCACTCTGATAGTAGTTTCTTTTGCTGTGCAGAAGCTCTTTAGTTCAATTAGATCCCATTTGTCAATTTTGGTTTTTGTTGCTGTTGCTTTTGGTGTTTTAGACATGAAGTGTTTGCCCATGCCTATGTCCTGAATGGTATTACTTAAGTTTTCTTCTAGGGTTTTTATGGTTTTAAATCTAACATTTAAGGCTCTAATCCATCTTGAATTAATTTTCATATAAGGAGTAAGGAAAGGATCCAGTTTCAGCTTTCTACTTATGGCTAGCCAATTTTCCCAGCACCATTTATTAAATAGGGAATCCTTTCCCCAT